GAACCCAGAAGTTCGATTTCCAGCCGTCGAACTTGCGGGTAAGTGTAGCCAAGGCCTAAGAGCTGGTCTACGCTTAAAAATTAGATTGGCTTAGCTACGCCGCTCAGGGCTGTGAAAAATTTCACACCCTGAGCCCCATAGTTAGGTCGAACTAACCCCCAGTGTAGACTTGGCTAGGGTGCTGGAAGAACCCTTCCATCGACCTACCCACAGCCTCTCGGAGAGATGGATTAACTACAGTGACAGAAAAACCCGTTCCGGCGTGTAGGAAGCTTCTACACTGCAGCAGCACAGCGACAACCGGAGTTGTAGTGTGGACATGGCCTTAGACAGACAGGTTTGACCCTGCAAAGTGCTGAGCGCCCTCCATTCTCATTGGGCTGAATGCAAGGGGAGGGCCTGATGCAAAGGTCATTGAAATCAATGGGAGTTTTTTCACCGACTCCACCTGACTTTGGATCAGGCCCTAAGGGCATGCCCCACCTCACAGGCTTGGACCCATAAAAAGCAAACCAGTTTCTGTTACTGCCTGTGCAGACTTGGACTCAGTGGTAGGTAATTACTTCTCCATATAAGCTACAGGAGAAATTTGTTTACAGTTCCTAAGGGCTTTAGGACCACAGGCTCTTTGGGACAGGGACTGTCTTTTTGTCTGTGTTTATACAGCCCCAAGAAAAATGGTTCCTGGTCCAGAGAGTTTAAGGCCAAACAGGACCACCTGTCTGTCTGGGGGGGGGGAAGGATAGCTCAGTGGTTTGAGCACTGGCCTGCTAAACCCAGGCTTATGAGCTCAATCCTTGAGGGGGCCATTTAGGGATCTGGGGTAAAAATCTGTCTGGGGATTAGTCCTGCTTTGAGCAGGGGATTGGGACTAGATGACCTCCTGAGATCCCTTCCAACCCTAATATTCTATGATCATCTAGTCAGACCCTCTGTATGTTACAGGCTACCAAATCCAATAACCAAGATTAGGCCACATGACTAGGGCTTCTAGAGGCTCTGGTGAGACAATTCACAAATAATAAGTTCCTTATTTGCTTCATATTAAATCTTCCCCTGTAGTATTAACAAGCAGCTTTCTGGAGTTAGAAACTTTTGGGCCAAGCTATGCACTGCATGGCTCTGCAATACTGAACACAGTGGAAAGTTTGTATGAGAAAGAGTCACAGAACGGTCCTACTTTGTTAATAAAAGGTGACTTCTGCCTAGGTAGCAGAGGGTCATGCTCAGTTGTGTGAGTTAATGGAACAAAGGGGATCAAACTATGGATGTGAAATGCTGGTCATCCGGACAACCTTCAAAATGTGGGAAAACAAAGGATCTACACGGATATTTTGATTTAGTCTCAATGGGAAAACTTTTACTGCCCAACTTTTTCTGAAGTAACTCTGCATGATCAAGTTGTAGGTGGTGCGTGTAGGGCAGGGGATCTCAAACTTCATTGCACCCGGACCCCCTTCTGACAACAAACATTACTACGCGACCCCAGAAGGGGGGACCGAAGCCTGAGCCTGCCCAAGCCCCGCCGCCTCTGGCAGGGCGGGGGTGGGAACAAAGCCAAAGCGGGGAGCCTGTAACCTGAGCCCCACCATCCAGGCCTGAAACCCCCCGGCTTTGGCTTTTACGCCAGGCGGTGGGGCCCAGCAAGTCTAACGCCAGCTCTCTAATGGAGTCACAACGCACTTTGGGGTCCTGAGAACCGCTGGTGTAGGGAGAGAGACGCCCAACCCGCTGCCTAGCAGCCAATAACTAAGACGTACTTTAATCTTCATTGTGCTTGGAGCCAAGGCTGTGATTTCCTTTTGCATCCTGTCCGCGATCCCAGGGTACATGGTGGTGCCCCCGGAAAGGACGTTGTTGGCGTACAGGTCCTTACGGATGTCGATGTCGCACTTCATGATGGAGTTGTAGGTGGTCTCATGAATTCCAGCAGACTCCATGCCTGGGGGAAGCAGCACATGATCAGTATTGTGTTACATAGACAGAGACTGCTCACCAGCACCTTTCTTCCTTCAAAGCCTGACCCGTCTCTCTCTGGAGTCTGTGGGAGTTGCTCCATTGATTGCAATGGGAGGTGCATCAGGACATCAATGCATACATAACCTTCTTCCCTTATAACCTGAATCTTCGTGTGCACCTAGCTAGTGCTTTAGGTTGCTTTACACAGGCCTATGAATAGTTACTACAGTGATCAGTGCTTTATATAAGTGACAGACCGGCCTAGGGTCAAGTAGCAAATCCAGCCTCTGTACTTAGATTGTGAACTCTTTAGGGACTGTTTTTTGGTTTTGCAGTTGTACAGCACCTAGGCACCACAGCAATACAAATAATATCTATGCACTCTCTATTGTGTAGCAATGGTTGCATCTTCTATCCCCAGGCTGAGAGGTTCTAATTAAACCCAAAGGCCAAGCTCTGCTCTCATGTACACCAGTGACACTTTCATTGACATTTGCCTTGAAGCCACATAAGGAGCAGAGTCTGGCCCTCCTCCTCTTCTCCGATTCATGGCAATTAGAAGAGAAAACAAACCACAATTACCTGAGGAATTGCACCCTCTTAAATTTGCCTCAAGCATTTACAAGAGAGAGTCCCACAATGGAAAATATGGACTGTAGAAGGGTGGGGGAAGATGTTACTAGTATATTCCCATCCCATCTGTCCCAGTATTTAAACGGATGGAAAAAATAAATAACCCAACCAACCTACCTGCCCTTTGCCCCTCTCCCGCCGTATCGGTGAATATATTTAGAAATGGGCTCTACCCAACCCCTCAGATCCAAACAGCCTCACGCTCTGGATCCAGATCTGAAAGTTGCAGAATCTTTAAATGAAAAGAGGGTGGGATGGAATGGACCCTCACCAATGAAGGACGGTTGGAAGAGGGTTTCCGGGCAACGGAAACGCTCGTTGCCAATGGTGATAACCTGACCGTCAGGCAGCTCGTAGCTCTTCTCTAGGGAGGAGGAAGAGGCAGCTGTGGCCATCTCATTTTCGAAGTCCAGGGCCACGTAGCACAGCTTCTCCTTGATGTCACGCACGATTTCTCGTTCGGCTGTGGAAGACAGGAGCAAGCGCTGTTAGCTACGCAGCTGGGACACGGTCTCCATTCCACTGGGGCAAGGGTGGGGAGCACCAAGCAGTGGTGGATCAGAGCTGTCAGAACTACGGGGCCCATTTTCATTTAACAGTGAAAGTTGATTAACCAGGGGAACAAGCTACCCAGGGAAGTGGTGGATTCTCTGTCTCTTGGGGTCTGCAAATCAAGTCTAGATGCCTTTCTGGAAGATGCTTTAGCCAAACACAAGTTATTGGGCTCAATACAGGGGTAACTGGAGACAACTGAATGGTCTGTGATATACAGAAGGTCAGACTAGATGATCCCTTCTGGCCTTAAACTTTATAAATTTAGTCTGGCCTGATGTCATGAGATGTAACCTCTGCCAGCAGAGAACTGTGTCGTCATTAAATATTGTCCCACATCTATGACCTCCTTTTGCCCCCCGACTCACAAGTCTCATGTCACCCGCTAGTGTCTCATTAAATGCCACCCCTGTTGTCTCATGAGACCACGGAGGTGATCAGACAACAGAGGTGGCTGTAATGCGATCAGAATCTTCCCCACTCCCTCTAGATACCGAGGGCACCTTCTCTCCGGTCACTGTGCCGAACCCACAGAGACCAGACCAAACGCTCCCCTTCGTACCAGTGGTGACGAAAGAGTAGCCTCTCTCCGTGAGGATCTTCATGAGGTAGTCCGTAAGATCGCGACCAGCCAGGTCAAGACGCATGATCGCGTGGGGCAGAGCGTATCCTTCATAGATAGGGACGTTGTGAGTGACACCATCCCCGGAGTCCAGAACGATACCTGGAGACAATGGAAAGAGCGGAGTTAAAAGACGGTCCATGGATCTGCTGGCCCTGCATCTCTCTTACGTGCAGCGAGCAAAGAGAAATGCGTGCCTGTTATTAACATCATTATTCACTCCTCACAACAAGCCAAGCTTTTCAGAGAGGAAATAGGGTCCAGTGGTTGGGGCACTAGAACAGGACATGGGAAACGCAGGTTCAAATCCCTGTTCCACCCCAGCCTTCCTGTGTGACCTTGAACAAATCATTCTGTGCCTCAATTCCCTGTCTGTACAATGGGGATAACAGCACTTCCCTGCCTCACAGGGGCATCTGAGGATAAATATGTTAAAGTGTGTGAGGCCCTCAGATCTCTACCTATCTAAATACCTTAGATTGGCAAAGAGGGGCATTTGATTGAAAATACTTTTGCCCCCAGCAGGGCTAAATCCTCTGCTCCACTATGTAAAAGAGGGGGATGGTAGCAGGAAGTTAGAATAACTTTCGTGATGCATGGATAGATATCCTGGCAAGCGTGCCAGCCTGTACACCAAGGGGATGTGATCAAATGGAAGGGTTTGCCTGCCTTTGCCCTTCCAGCTGGCTAACACAGACTCTGACATCACTAACAAGTTCTAGCCAGCAGCAGCTTAGGTCATGCTGTGCTCTTGCGTGGAGGAGCAGCAATATATGCTGCACCAAGCCCCCCTGGCCTACTATAAGAAAGCTTACTCTGTGCCATCAGGAGATCTATTATAGGGGACGCAGCTGCCAGCATCCCTGCTCCGTCTCAGAGTTGCTCCCCAAAAGATCAGGATTTAGGCGGACCAATAGTTTGGGTGTCTACCCAGTAGTGGATTTAAACGGTCCTGAGAAAATGCAGCTCCCACTGAATTCAGTGAGAATAGTGGGTGCCCCGCACGTCTGCAAAATCAAGCCGACAGCACATACGCGTCATCAAAGAGGAGGGAAGAGAACTACTCACCAGTAGTACGGCCAGACGCATAGAGGGACAACACAGCTTGGATTGCAACGTACATGGCGGGGACGTTAAAGGTTTCAAACATGATCTGAAAAGAATTCCAATTCAAATGTTCAAGGTCAGTGCATCGCCGGATGTGGAATGCACGCAGCACATTTACATGCAGTGCATCCCGAAGTGCATTGCTGACTCTGCGCGCCGTCCAATGCGTGCGTGCGTACACACACCAATCTAGAGATAGGAGGGTGCTGAAATGCAAGACGTGCTGCTGTCATCACAGAAACACCTGGGGCGGTTGGGTCCCACAATTCACCCAATAGCCCAGTGAATGCAGGTTGAGTTTTCGGTATCCAAACTCTTCAACCGCCATCTGGGGTGGGACTTGGCTGGGTAAATAGAGAATTACATCATCCACTGCAACAGCAGAACCTCTGGGTTCCGGATCTGCTTCCACAAGTGTGCTAGTTATGGATATTCTCCGCATGGTGTGGCTAGGGGACCTCACCCATAGCTAAGAGTAAGATCTAAGGGCATCCCATTCTACAGATGGACCAGCACCTCCCACAGCTCAGCTGTATTTCTCCACATAACTTCCGAGAAGGGATCGAGTTGGTGTTTGCCATCTAACCAGTTGTGGACCATTTTTCTCCACCAATGATATCAGCAAAGGCTGGACATCAGGCAGCTAAAGCAAAGCTCTTCAACTACGGATCTAGCTTCTCAGATCCCAACACACTAAAGATTTTTCAGGGACTCCAGAAGAGCAAGAGTCCTTCCCCCCCTCCACCAGTATACAGTCTGGTTGGATTTTCCCCCGGATGGGATAGTGCCTACCATGAGACTAGTGGAGGGAACATTCCAGGAAGTTGATGTTTTACCTGGGTCATCTTCTCACGGTTCGCCTTGGGGTTCAGGGGCGCTTCTGTGAGAAGGGTGGGGTGTTCTTCTGGAGCCACTCGTAATTCATTGTAGAAAGAGTGGTGCCAGATCTAGGCCGGAGGAGACAAAACGACAATGGTAGCTCAGACTCCGTGCTGAAGGATCAGTTCTTCTAACTGGCTCCATGGAGGGAATGGATATGGGTCTGTCTGCACTGGGGATTCGCACCAGTTTCAGCCATCAGTGCAGCTGCACCGGGGCAAACTGCTTGTGTACAGTGGCTAAACTGAAACTTGCACTGGCGCAGCTTACCCCGGTTTAAAGCAGATGTAAATGCAACTGGTGCATGTGGTGGCTTTGCCCTGTCCACACCAGGGATAGGCAGCAGTGTAGCTATGCTGGTGACTGGAAGCTGGGTAAAGCCACAGCATGGACCAGACTTCGGTCTAGAAATGGGCCTGAGCTGGAAAATCCAGACTCATCCACATTAATCCATTCAGCCCAGAATTAAACTGCAGCTAGAATGCAGACACGAGACTGCAGCTCAGGAGTGAAGCAAAGAGTCAACAGGGCTCAGATTTTGGGACCCAGTCCTACCTCCATCCACCCACCCAGGTCTAAAATTAAAACTGAGGGTTTGATTTGTAATAAAATGGAAATGAATTGGTACAGCTGGGCTAAAATACAAGCTGGGGTCTACAGTGGGGGAGGGGGAGCATGACCATCCAACAGGTGTGTAAGCCACATGGAATGAGGGGGATTGATTAGGATGGTTCAGGGGGGGAACACCTAGGAGAGATAAGAGAACATTAAGCAAAGGGGAATACTGGCTATATGTCAGGAAACACTTCCTGAGTCTGTGAAGTCATCTCCCCAATGAATGAGGCAGCAGATTGGATAAAGCCCTGAAAATCAGAGAGGTTTCTGTAGCTGCCATCATTATAACATCTGTGTAATACACCCATGAAGTGTGCCATGTCCCCCTCTAATGGCTGGCCCCCATGGCGGATAACAGCCTATTACTGGCAGCAATTGATGGAGTCATTCCTTTAGCTCAAGCAGTAGAGGCCTGTGGTTTGGAGATAAAGGGTAAAGGATTCAACCCTTGCTGATGACCCACAGAGGAGGCTGTTATGTAAATACTGTAGAAAACAGTCTTGCATTGGCCACAGCTGATGTACAATGGAAGGACTTCGGTGTTGGACCCAACAATAAAAAATTCATGCAAGTGTCACTGCCACAGTCATTGGCTGACATGCTGGGGACCGCCAGATCGAATAGTGCGAGCTGCTACAGCTTGAGCCAAAGAGCCAGCCTCTCTCGCGGGGGATGTTAAACTCATCCTCCGAGATCAGGCGCAGACGGGGGACTTGCAACACCATCTCCAGCGAGTGACGCGAGTACGTTTTGAAATTAGAAAAGGAAAATTAAAATAACCCTTGACTGGCTCACTGGTTTTTCTATTCGATTCGATTAACCAGGGGAACAAGCTACCCAGGGAAGTGGTGGATTCTCTGTCTCTTGGGGTCTGCAAAGAGTGGGATTTTTAAAGGCAAACGATCAAAACCATTTGAAAAATAACAGTGGAGAAAGTTTGGTGGGTTTTTTTGGCCGATTGAGTCCAAAGGAGAACAAGAGCTCCCCCCCTACCTTCTCCATGTCGTCCCAGTTGGTGATGATGCCATGTTCGATGGGGTACTTGAGAGTAAGGATTCCTCTTTTGCTTTGAGCCTCGTCCCCTACGTAGCTGTCTTTCTGGCCCATCCCCACCATCACACCCTAGAAAACAACAAGGGAGATGTTAACTGCCAAGCTCGCCTCCATGGGGCAGAAGAAAACTGTCCGGTAGCTCAGATACGCACACTGATCCATACGCTTATTTATTGTACCATTGTCGGCAGCAGAAATATTGGGCAAACCCTGAGGTTCTTGCTCAGTTTTCATTCAGTCCAACCTCAGGGCCAAACTAATGGGCTCTAATGAGACTATTCCCAGATGAAGGCATTATTCAACCACTATTTGCACCTGTGGAGTTTATTCCTGCTTGAAACTTAGGTGAGCTGTGCCAGTGCAAATTGCAGCGCAGCCTGTCTACACTGATGTCGCTGTACCAGTGGCTGAAATTGGGGCAAATTCACAGTGTAGGCAGGCGTCCCTCCATGGAGTAGCAACAGTATCAGAATCAGGCCCTTAGAAATGGTTTAAGGCCAGATCCTGATCGCCGGTTAGTCTGGAATCCATAGAGCTGCTTTGGAGTTACTCCAGATTCACACCAGCACAGCCCAGCGGAGAATGAGACCCAATCAATAATCGTTTTTATGGCCAAATTCATCTGTTACCTACCATGGATTTACATCAGGGATGATTTAGTTGGGGATTGGTCCTGCTTTGAGCAGGGGGTTGGACTAGATACCTCCTGAGGTCCCTTCCAACCCTGATATTCTAGGATTCTGATACATTTGGCCCTTAGAACACCTCTCTTTTGCAGCAACCCTGATGCTTTTACACATGGGAATGAAACAACATTAAAAACCTTTCATGGCGTTGGCAGAATGATACAGCAGCAGCAAGGTCCAGCGGATTGAACATGGAGCCGGGCACCAGGAACTCCTGAGTCCCAACTCCAGCACTGACACTGGAGTCAAGCCTGCTCCCAATGGGGGTCAATTGGAGTTTTGCTGTCCGTCTTCTATAAGAACAGGGTCAGGGCTTACCACAGGCTATGGAGCCTTGGCATTGTCATTTAATCTGTATGGATCTGTCTACACTGCATTGTAATAGGGTGATCAGATGTCCCGATTTTATAGGGACAGTCCCGATTTTTGGGGCTTTTTCTTATATAGGTTCCTATTACTCCTCATCCACTGTCCCTATTTTTCACACTTGCTGTCTAGTCACTCTAGGTCACCCTACATTGTAAACTCAGCTCTGCAGACCTGGGCTTGCGGACTCAGTGTTTCAAACCCTGCACTTGAGTGTCCACATTGCATTATAAACCTGGGTTTACAATTGTTGGCCCTGGGTCTCACAGCTGTGCTGAAGCGTCCGTACTGTGCCAGGCGGACCTTCTGCCTCGGGTCTGCGGCTTGAGCTGCGTCCACACTGCAAAGTGACAGGGTTGGACCCAAGTCATAGTGGGACTCAGGCTCTAACCCCCTGTAGCAGAGTCCTCTGCTGACCCGAGCCAGTCCCAAGACTAAGGTGTCCAATATCAGGGTGATCCAGACTGGAGCTGGACATTGGACTATAACCTATGGAACTAATTCTGAAAGAACTCTTTGTAACTCCAAAGTTCACCATCTCTACTATGAAACTGACCTAAGAATTTTATTCAAGCCTGTATGTATCATGATCTTTTTACCTATACTCTCTCTTTTCTTTTTAAATAAATTTTAGTTTAGTTAATAAGAATTGGCTATAAGTGTGTATTTGGGTAAGATCTGAAATATTTATTGACCTGGGGGGTAATGTGTCCGGTCCTTTGGGATTGGTAGAACTTTTTATATAATGAACAAGATTTTCAGTAATGCTCATCATATTTGACTTAGCTGTCTGGGTGGGAGCCCAAGGCTGGATTGTTTTAAGGGAACTGTATTTTTGGCTTCTAGGTAACCCATTCTTTGCAGTTTGCCCTGATTGACCAATCTCAGTGTGGGGCCCCTGGGCCCATGATCACGTGTGTGGATGGAAGAGGGGCTTGGGTTCAAACCTGTGTCAGAGCCAGGGTTAGTGTGCAATTTGTCTCCTCTCCTTTGCTCCCATCTGTAAAGTGGAGATAATAAAGATACCTGCTTCCCCGGGGCATTGTGGGGGGTGGTTAGTTAAATGCCTGTCCAGCATTTTGAGGCCAGTGGGAGCTAAGGGCTTGTCTATACTTACGCGCTGGTTCGGTGGCAGGCAATCGAACTTCTGGGTTCGATTTATCACGTCTTGTCTGGACGTGATAAATCGAACCCAGAAGTGCTCGCCATTGACTCCGGTAATCCTGCTTGGCGCGAGGAGTACGTGGAGTCGACGGGGGAGCCTGCCTGCCACGTCTGGACCGCGGTAAGTTCGAACTAAGGTACGTCGACTTCAGCTACGTTATTCACGTAGCTGAAGTTGTGTACCTTAGCCCGAATTGGGGGGTTAGTGTAGACCAGGCCTAAGTAACAATAAGTAGATTAAACAATCAGAGGCAGCTGCCTTGGCTCTGCAAACGTTGGGTGTAAAAGCCCTCTTCCCTCAGATCCCAGGGGAAGATGCAACACAGGGCACCCTCTGTTGCTTTTTACAGATTCAGACTAACACGGCTACCCCTCTGATACTTCACAGGACACCAGCAGCTCTACAGATACTCCCATCTCAGAGCTGTAAAACCCTGACTCAATCTATGTGCCAAGCCAGCCAGCAGGAGCAGCAGGCTGACGGCAGCTGGCATTCTGCCCAGCGCTTGGGCTGCAGCTTTCTGCATTAGCTGCAGGCTGGCCAGTGTCATAGATAGAATGCCGAACGCGGCAAGCAATGTTACAAAGACACACTGAGGCTACCACCACCACCGACTGGGTTACCAGGGCCAACCCAGCCCCTAGGATATGACTCTGCCTGGAGAGCATACCGTGCTCATCCTAGAAAACTGCCCTCCCATTAAAAAGAAAAATCAGAACATTCCCCCCTCATACCCATCCCCCCATCTTTAAATTCACAGTAACTCCACTGGCATCAGCAGAGACCTGGAGTGGCTTTCAGATCAGAACCTAGTCCATGATCTTAGTTTCAGGCCATTGAGGATTCACCCAGTTTCACTACCACCGGGATGGTTTTATCAGCTAGGACTAAAGCCTGCCCTGGAGGTGGTAAAGCAAAATCCAGCGATCAGCTATATTGAATGCTTCAGAAAGATTGAACATCCTGTGTATCATGAGAAACAGATCCTGGAGCACTCTGACAACGGCAGTCTCAAGTCGGCTTCTGGCTCCAGACAGGAGGAGATCATATACCCAGTGTCTGTCCAGACTCTCCTGTTATCATCTTGCCCCAGACTTTAGCCAAGTATGCCAATAATGCCGAGAAAGACAGGCTAGCAGGACACAGCCCAGGAGTGTCATCTGAGCATGGGGTGAATTCCGCAGAAGGTTCTGTAGCTGTAGAATGGGGCCATACTTCTATGGTGCCAGACAGGTGCACAGTACTTTATTAACAAACAAGAACAGGCTGACTCCCTGCCTTAAAGATGTTATGATCTAAGCCAAAACAAGAGCAGCAGGGGGAGATCACGAAGGAAGGATTGAGGGTGGGAAAGGCTATGTGACCTGTGTTCAATTGGAAGAGGCTGATGTGCACATCTTGAGAGTTAGTTGTATCACATAGAAAGTAATTTACAACAATAAGATTCCTTAAAGGGCTTCCACTGGGCAGACCTTTCCTTCTGGATCCTCCTTGCTTTCATGAACACACGGGCCAAAGGCTCACAGTCCTTAATCTTCCTCCCCAAGGACTGTGCTCTCTTCCCCCAAATCAGCTCTCGCAGCAACCCCAGCGCTCCTCCCCCTTTTACATTCTGGGTCTGGACGCTGAATTACTATCAACCCCAGTGGGATCAGACAACCAGTGTACTGTTATCGGGCCCCGCCTTGGTAATCCATGCCAGACACTATCCGAGATTCAACCTTTGAAAGGAACAGAGTCAGTGTGGCGCTGGCATTTAAATCTAACACCATCAAATCCCCCAATCGCAGCACTGCTTACAAAACAATTCACTTCCAGAGAACCACTTCTTTTTCCTGGTCCCGCCATGGTTGGCCTAAGCTTCTGACAGCCCTAGCCACACCCCAGGTCCCTTCCCTGTTCCTCAACTGCATCCCCTGGAATATCCAATCCTTTTGAAGCATCTAGAAGCATACAGGACAGGTGACATTTCTATCTTAGTTAAGCTCTGGAACAGGTTCTCTAGGGAGGTTGTGGAATCCCCGTTACTGGAGGTTTTTAAGAACAGGTTGGACAAACACCTGCCAGGGATGGTCTAGGTTGACTTCATCCTGTCTCAGCGAGAGGGGCTGGACTAGCTGTATATATTTGGGTTTAACATTAATTAAGCCTCACAATACTCCTTAGGAGGCGGGGCAGCCCCAGCCCCATTTTATAAAGGGGTAAATTGAGGCAAGGAGCAGTTACGGACATTCTCAGAAGCATCCCACTCATTTTGGAGGCCCAACTCAAGGCCCTTTAAGCCCAATTTTTCCCAAACTGCTGACCACCCACCACTGCAGCCGAAGCCAATGGAAGTGGCGGGTGCCCAGCACCTCTTTGGCTCGCCCCCGGGACGTGTCAAATTCAGCACTCAAGAACTGGGGCACACAAAAATCAGAGATCACTTATGAAAAATGTTGGCTTCAGCCTCTTGCCCGAAGTCTGCCACAGTGCTTGGAACCCCGGGGTCCTGACTCCCAGGCCTGTCCTTTGTTAGTCGTATTACCATAGGAGTCTTAGTCACGACCCACCCCCATGGTGCGAATTGCTGTACAAACACAGAACCAAAAGACAGTCCCTGCCCATAGATGTTACAACCACATTCTAGGCATGAGCTAGCGATCATTATCAGCACATCAGCAGAACATGTTTTAGATAGCTATAAGCAACCCACTAACCTCTTGGACTCTATAAAAAATTCATCACCCACTTATCAAAACACTTATTAATCCTGTGTTAACCCTTGACACATGGAACTGTAATATAAAAGTGGACCAACAATTAATCAGATTTTAGGGCCTGATTAGGATGGACTGGCTGGGTCACCAACCAGGCTGGTATTGTCCAAGCCCAACATGCAATGAACATGAAAGAGTTCAGTCCACCCCAGCCCAGATTGTGCAAGTGTTTTCCATGCAGCATTCCCCTGGATTCAAATGGGACTTCCTCATGCCTCTTGGCTCAGGCCTACAGCATTTTCTTACCGGGGGAAGGGGGGAGTTGACTGACATTGAGGTACTGCACAAACCTGGTGACGAGGGCGACCCACTATGGATGGGAAGACAGCGCGTGGGGCGTCATCGCCAGCAAAGCCAGCCTTGCACAGCCCGGAGCCATTGTCACAGACCAAGGCGGTGGTCTCCTCTTCACACATGGCGGAGCTGAGAGATGCTGGAATTCAGAGGCACCTGTAAGAGGCAGAGATGAAGGGGAATGTTAAAAATTACATGCAGCTCTGAATGGCTATTCAAGGATTGGCTGAATGCCACGCTCAGCTACACCCATCTGACTGCAGAGGAGTCAACAGAGTGATTTAGTTGGGGATTGGTCCTGCTTTGAGCAGGGGATTGGGCTAGATGACCTCCTGAGGTCCCTTCCAACCCTGATATTCTATGATTCTATGCTACAGGGGAGAGCAGAATCCAACCCCACATTTTCAAGGAGTTCAACTGAGAAAGCAAGTTCATAAAAGCTACATAAGAAGCAAGAAGATGGAGCCTCAGCTGGTGCGAATCCATGTAGCTCTACTGAGGTCAATGAAGTTACAGCAATTTTCCTCCGTTATGGGTCTGGCCTACTGAATGCAAAGACCCTACGGACTATATATTTGGTCACATACAGAGGCAGGTGAGATGGAGATAAGAGATTCAGATCACTGGGTCTATATTCACTCAGCTTTATCTGTGTCGGTCACTTCAGGGCCCCCTTGGCGTATAAAACAAATTATTTTTCATCAATCAGAAAATTCAGTCACGAAAAGGCTACACCAGTGGTTAGAACCCCCTGGCAAAGGCTCAGCCAAATGAAATGAGCCTTATGCCACACCCAAAAAACTGCATTTTCAAGCCAGAAGGGACCATTACGACCACCTAGCCTGACTTCCTGCAGAACACAGGTCAGAAAGCCTCACCCAGGGAGTCCTTCATCTAGTCCATAACTCCGGTTTGACCTAGAGCCGATCTCCTAGAAAGAGACCCAGTCTTGACTTAAAGAATCCAGCTGATGGAGACTTCACCATGCCCAGTGATCAATTACTCTCACGTGTAATGTTCTTAACCTTATTTCCACTCTGGATCTGATGACCAACCAGAGGGGGAGCATTCTACCGCCTTCCATTGCGGTCACCCTGCCTCCGGCTCTCAGCAGCTCATGCCTAAGAGCTGTTAGGAGAAGCACCTCAGTTAGACTCAGCTGCTGAGGTGAAGCATGGGGAGAGAGGCCTCCTCTAAAGTAGCCAGCTCCGAAACCTTGCAGCCAATGCCTTGGGTTGCACTTGGAAGCAGAGAGGATGCTTGGGCCTTGCCCAGAGCACAGGTGTCACAGGCCTGCACTAAACAGGCACCCCCAAAAGTCACCTTTTAGGGGCTGCTTTGGAAGCCAAGTCAAGAGACCTAGGTTTGATTTGCCGTCCTGGTCCTTCCTGCAGAGACCGGGAGCGAATCACAGAAACTAGCTGTGGAGGAGATACGGTAAACTGGGGCACTGTGCGCATGTTGTTAAAGGTGCTCCAACGGATCCTCTTTGGAGACTAGCCTCAATTCTTCTTTCAGCTGCAGCAGCAAGTCCCATTGAATCCCAGGGACTTCAATGGGGTTGCAGTGGAGGGAGAGTAAGATTCAGCCCATTCCTTTTAAGGAAGTTCCTTTTGAGCATCTCCCTACGCTGATCGGGCCTGCACTACGGAAGTCAATGGGAGTTTTGCCACTGACTTATGTGAGCATAGGTTGAGGCTCTTCAAGAGGTGTGGTCCATGACATAATAGATGGACCCAGCTCAATGAGGAGGTGCAAACTCTGCAGCTGACGGCAGCTATGTAGTGAATGGAATGTCAAGGGGGTCCCGGCTCTCACGGTTGGAAGCTTGGATGAGAGAACGTCCTTGGTCTGACAGACAAGGCCCACAAGAAGACTGGGAATCAGAGAGATGTTAGAAATGAACCTGCTAAAGGGGGAGTTTTAACATCATGTACTTAGCTGGCAATAGGAAAAAATAAATCAAGGGTTCAGAGGGGGATAATCCACTGTGGAGCTGGATATAGGTTTTAAACATCCGCCCAGCTTCGGAGGAGCTTCTTTTGATACAAGACCAGGCAGAAATATAAAAAGTCTCCAAGCCCAATTGGCTTTTTACTACAGCCCATTGGTAAATGTTAAACACAGACATAATAACATCACTATTGGCATCAATATAACCAGAGATGGGCCCAAGGCCCTGTCTGTCCATCACTCAGTGTGTGGTCCAGTGATTTGTATTTTGTTTTAAACTGCATTGCATGCGCATTAGTTTGTACAACTGACACCTCGCCAGATGTGCAGTGCTGTACACCTGGAGGAGAAAAGTCTCCAGCCACAAAGTGCAGGGAGACTCTGGGCTCGTGCTATGAACCAGATAACTCAGTTTAAGTCAGAGGAGTTGCTCTGAAATTACACAGCAGAATCCGGCCCCTTGTATATAAATAACAAAGCCAGCCATACAACAGCTCATTGTCTTTTAATGAGTTAGTTTCCTCATTTGCCCTGGACTTGATAATGCTGACCCCTTGATGGGCAGCCAAAGGGGGGAGATTGGAGATGCCTGGTTTAAATGTACTGCTGTTATGGTCAAGAACCTGTTAGCAGGAAGCAGCTGCACATTAGAAATACAGGGCTTGAGTCTTCTCTCATGGCACTCACTTCAGTGCAGTTACCTGTGATGGATGCCAGGCCTACCGCATAGCTCACATCACAAAGGGATCCTACAGAAGGGGATTCCTGACCAGCTGGTAGCATTGCAGAGTAGCCCACAACGGAAGAGATGGGGGAAGGAGATGACTTGCAGCCTAGCAGCATTTCTGGACAGCCTGGGGGAATCGTGCTAATGTACATTTCACTGCTTCCCTCAGGCCTTTTTAAGATCCCTGGGCCAGATCCGCAGCGCCAATGGAGCAATGTCCATTTACATCAGCTGAGGATTTGCCCACCCACGACCATTCTTCCACTGCTGGAAAACAGTCGTTCAAGGAATTACTCAGGCCCAGTGGCAGGCTAATTATCCCTCCTGTTTAAGCATTTGGAGAGGATTTTCTACAAACTGTATGAAGTCCTCTGGCCTGCCAGCCTAGATGAACGAATGGTTCCTCCTGGCCTTAGAATCTATGAATCAAACCAGTCTGAATTCCAGCCAGAGTCCTAGCTCTTTTACTGTCAAACCTACCGATTCCAAATGGCTCATCCTTCCCTAAAGCAGAAGGCTAATCCATCATCTAGATACACTAAATTAATGCATCGTGGGTATCTAATTTGGGGGCCTGCTTGGTTTTAAAAGAAAAGTTAATAGCAATAATAATGCTGTGCTCAGTCTTATGTAGCGTTTTTCATCCCTCCATCCCAAAGCAATTTACAAAGAATCATTTCACAGATGGGGAAACAGAGGCAATCCTGAGTCCCAAACCAGTGCTCTGTCCATGAGGCCTTATTCATAGCCAAGGGTGGCAAAGCTAATAGGCTCCCCAAGGCAGGGGCTGCATCTTTCTCCAAGTGTGGCCAATGCCAGGTGGATGCTACAGGACTAGAAATAATAATCAATCTTACAGTCCTTACTCAGGCAACTCTCCCACTAAAGTCAGTGAGAGTTTGCTTTGAGTGTGACCCCTGATGGAAAAGACCTGCCCATGAAATAAGCATAATATTTTACACCCCAGCATCCAATGGAAAATCCACTGTAAAAAGAGAAGCATGAGGAAGTTAACATGATTGGTCAAAAATAATGCATGCGAGCCCAGATTCTGATCTACCTGTGCCAGTCACAGATGAGTTACTCCTGAGTCATGCTAGCGTAAGTGTAATCAGAATTAGGCCCCCCGTGTCCAGTCAATGCAATGTATACACTCCAGTGCATCTGGTAGTGTATGATATGTCTCTGTAGACATTCATGCATGTTGTGAGGTCTGGAATCACACTACATGTGTGAAATATTTCTGTAGTCAGTCAGATTCTCTTCAGTTCCACCCCTTCAATAGGAATGATGCTAGATTTATGCTGATGGAATTGAGATCAGAATCTGGTCCAATCTGACTTCAAATGGCTGTAAATCAGGGCAGAATCTGACCCTTTGTCTTTCGTTTAACCTTACATCTCTCTAGAAAAGCCCCTTGGGATCAAAGCAGAAATAAAAGTATTGGCAATTCTGTTGCGAGGGAAGAAGGGAGAGGAATACCTCAGCTTCCTGGCAGCATCAGTGGGGTAAACATGCCCCCCCCCTTAACTGCAGCAGTAACACTGATCTATTCCTCCAGAACACTGAAAGACAGAGGACTAGATGCTGATTTCATTTACACTGGTGCCAGTCTAGAGTAAGCCTAATAGCTTCCGTGGAAACCAGCACCAGCCTCTAGCCTACATTCCTGAGGTTAACTTCTCCACTTTGAACAGCCCTATCAACTACGGTTTCTCCCCGGAGAATATTGCTATTCCCCTTCAAGACCAATTCCCTGTTATAAGAGACCGCAGAGGCATGAAGGCAGGTATCAGCTCTCTGAAAAACACAGGCAGTTTTCCTTTTATCCAGTTTGCAACGGTCCCTGATGTCCATAATTCTTTATCAGCATGAATCAGAGCCTGAGCTAAACCACACTGGGGCTCGAGGAAACACAAACAGGCTCCATCACAGGCTTTCCCAAAAATGGAAATAGTTTTCCCAACTCCTGGTTTGCAGAAGGCCACTCCCAACATTTCACTTCCTGTCTGGAGACAACGTGGAGCAGCGCCTACAGTAAGATGCAGCCCAGAGGCGGGGGAGACAAAGCTGTCAGCATTTACCGCTGAGCCATGTCAATTTCAGTTCCCACTGAAGACAATAGAGCAATGTTAAGAACAAGTGGCCAATAAGTAGGGTGACCAGATGTCCCGATTTTATAGGGACAGTCCCGATTTTTGGGTCTTTTTCTTATATAGGTTTCTATTACCCCCA